CGGCATAATTAGTTGGCCAAAGCAATAAATAAACTTCATAAACTTACCATTATTCACAGTTTTGGCCTGTGTGCTGGATGCACCACTGTAAACTTCAAATTTTTTTGTTGAACCCGAAAGTGTACACTCGTACATAATCACACACTTATTTTTATCACTATATTATAAGTTATTCTCACCGAATTAATTTTGACATAATTGTTATTAAATAAAGTTTGTAGAGACACTTCTTCAAAACACGAAGAGCACTACTAATCCAAATCGGCCATTATTTTATTTGTTTACATTTTACTTTGCAGATGTCGCTGGGTAACTGTCATAATTTATAGATCCAGGTTGTCGGTTGCAAAGCATAGCTTACTTGAGCGGACGGTGACGTCACGTTAGATCGGATCTAGTACGTTTATACGTGTTTGTTGAGTAGGTTGAATATTCTTATTTTGTCATTTGTGGTTTGAAGTAGGTGTGTGCGCTTGTAGAAATTGACAAGATAAGATATACACTGAACTGTAACAGTTATAGTTCAGTGATAAGATAGGACAAAGCCACATCCAGTGATAATTCTAACTCGTACATTGCTTGATCTTACATACAAAGCAATTAAAAGTAACAAAGTTAATATAGGAGATAGTAGTGATGATTTGAAGGGTAAGATTTTGGAACTTCAGAATAAGATAAAAAATTTAAAGGATGCGGAACCTCCAAATCAAACCACAATTGATTTTGAAGTATTGTCCAAGAACTTCAAGACAGGAATTCACGTGAACAAAATCTTATCAGTTACGGGATGATGGAAGATACAAATTTGTCCAGGGATGATGAAATTGTTTCCAAAAAAATAAAATTAAAAATACTTTAGAGTTTCTTGCTCCTGAAGTGGTTACTATATCAAATTAGACCAGACTAAAGAGGTTTGATACGACAAAAACCAATCCCAAGACGAAATAAGGTAACCCTCAATAACAAACACCAAGTGCACTCGTGTATACGAAATGCGTAGTAACTAAAAACACAAAATACATTCTCCCATTTCAACATATCTAGAACAGAAGTAAAAGTTGGAAATGCTTTTGCCAGTTCTCCCACTTTATACACATAAATTGACAGGTTGGCAGCGGATTTCACCGAAGTGGACACGATACATTGGCGTACAAAATTATTTTATAGATGTTAATAACAATTTCGAGTGAATAGCTGTTGAAATTTTGTAAAATTATAATTTAAATATTATAATACATGTTTAATAATTATTTATAATCCATAAATACATGCGATTGTCCGGTTCCGCCGATAACAATTTAAAATTACTTATTCTATGAAACGACACTGGCAGGTAAACACTACTGTGAAATTCTCGGAGCCGCCCGATGTGGTTTGACCCCAGTATATATACCAATCAGTATTGGCACTCTGAGGCGGCACGTTTGATCTTTAAAAGTAGAAATTTTAGTTGACACTTGACGTTTTCGGGATATGAAAAGTTTTCTTTACACGGACTTGGTATACCTGGTTAGTTGAATTTTTGTTCTGCTGCTTTTCAAATTCGTGTGTATGAGGGAGATGTGAGATACCTTAATAGACAACGGTTGAACAACTTAATTAATTTGAAGAAGAAAATAGATTAGATATCAGGGCAGTCTTCGCAAATGTAAGAAGGACAGAACCGTTTTAAATTTTTTTATATATGTGAAATATTACTTTTTGGTGAAACGTTTAATTACTTTTAGTATAACGTTAGTTTGTCAAGGGAAATATATAACACACAAGGTTAGAGTAACAAAATAGAGGTATTGCTTTATTTCTTAAGAATTACTCTAATCTAAAACTTTTCTAGTATATTGTAAAAATTTATTCTATACGTTATTTAGGTACTGCAAAATCTATAGAAAAGTATGTAGTTTTAAATTTAAAAATTTGTAACGGAGACATATTTAGTGTAGTTTTTTTACAAATATGTACTCAGTGACTTGTTTTTGTGAATGGGTTCAAGTATGGCAGACTAAAATCGTTATTTTTTATTATGAATTAATTTGAATTTATTTTAAAATGGGAACTATATGTATATGGTTTTCGTAGTTTTTACACTTGTTATAAAAATATCAAAGTTATGTATATTGGCCATTTACTACACACAGCAAATTCATAGACAATACATATTACTATTTGACATTCTTGTAAAACCACTAATTTAAAATTGACTTTAAACTAAGTGACTACACACAGAATTGTTTGAAAGCAGCCATAAGGTATAATTTATGTATTGGATACTATAAAAAAATTAATAGTAGTTACATGTAGAGTTAAGTAACAAGAAATTTAAGACCAAAAACAAAACAAACCTTTATATCTAGTGAACTAATTTTAGTACAGTCCTCAACTTTCTTAGGCTAACATTAAAGATATCTATTTGGATCTCGCTAAGAAACTCATTGGTAACAGCCATCATCTTGTTAAAAAGAGATATACTACTTGGATCTAAATCAAATAATTTATTGTTACTTGGGTTTCTTAGATTAATCTTTGCCACATTAACATTTATATAGTCAATCAATTCACAATATTTGTACTTAAAATAGAGTACAAAATATATCACAGCCTGTTGCTTTCTTCTTTGTAAAAGAGATTTATTCTTAAAACTATTGAGCATAGTTTTATACGAGATCTTAGGTATAAGGGTACAAGTATTCTTTATGACATAAAGGTACCGTAAAAATATTTTTTGTACTTTTTCAATATGATCAATTTGTGTGGCTTCCAAGGGCATCCATATTTGTGAAACATACTCAAGATGGAGTCTTACTAAGGCATTATATAATCTGATTTTGGTGGTAATCCTAAATTTTTTTTGTATTTCTGATTTAAAAACCTAATGCTTTTATTGCTTTTTTTAGTTATGTGTAAAAAATGGTTATTGAACTTCAAATTAGACTGAAAGACAACTCCCAAATCCTTTACCTCATATTAACGATTTAATGTGACATCACAGGTCTTATTTCTAATGTAAAACATTAAGAGGCTATGGATCCTTACAACTTAAAATATGCATACGTTTGTAAGTGTTAAATAGACGGATAAAAAGTGTTGATTTTTATTTACAACTATAATAAGAACCCATTAAAAAGATTAAGAGCAATAGAACATTTCAACAAATTTCTATAGGTACACATATTTTTGATACCTGATAATCAATAAATAATATATTTTTTGGAGTAGCAACAGGTTTATTAATACACAACTATTATTTTGTTACAAATAATTATAATATTTATAATTAACATAATAGTTGATATAAGTCCTTTAAAAATAATATATTTTGATTTAATTGTTGAATTTATACATGAGCAATTTTCCTTGCAGCGTTGTTTACATTTTGCAGAGAAATATTGTATTCTGCTTTTAGCTGATAAATCATGTACATGTAAATGGGTTGAATGTAGACAATGTTAATGTTTTTGCTACTACTGCTGGCTAGAAATGCTGGGCTAAGACACCAACAGAAAAAAAGGAAGCACAAAGCACTAGATGTTTTTATCACTTATACACGTACAATTTAAAACCATTCAAGTAACTAGCATGTTGGAAATACTTCACGAAAACATATTAAACATAAATCAGTCGAAGGCAATGTATTTTCTTTTTATAACACACCTTTTTAGCTTGATTACTTTTAGTACTCTATTTATTCCAATGTCCTCAAATAAAACGAGCAATAATAAGGATAAAACACACACTGAAGTGTATTTGGGGTATTTTTGATCTAAATGCACTATCAAAATAACAAATTTTCCGTTTTTAAGCTGTGAATGTATTACAAAAACTATTTCGATAAAATGTAAACAAAAGTTTATATTTGTGTACGAAATATGGGTTGCCTGCGCATGGTAGCGAGTTTTTAACCGGATTTATGACAAGTGATAGGTTATATCCCGAAAACGTCAGCGCAGTAAAAGCTGCGCGTCTTTTTCCCGCCCAGGGAGTGTCATGGGCCTGGTTTGACGTTTACCCCCCTCTCTACCTACCAAAAGACTTTTCAACTTTTACTTTCTCTATACGAATCGCGCACAGTGTTGTTCCTAGGGATTTTTGAATTGTACAACTTTCAGTGTCAAAATTGTACACTTTTACTTTCGATTGTACAACCACTAATTAATCTTCTTCTTTTTTATTGACAGACTATGGCCTACTACTTTCCCATGCTTAAAATTCTTCTTTTTTCCAGTTTAAAATATATTTTTGTTGTAAAACGGTGTACTGATTGGTCGCGAATGGCGCCAAATTTAAACTTTTATTTTTTTATTAATTTTAATGCATGTTATTTAACAAATCGTAGACTTTTTGAGCGAAGAAAACCTTTTATATACCCGATTTTACATAAATATTTAGCAATTTCAAATTGTACAACATTTCTGTCTTTTTTCAAAAGTGCGTACAACAGTACAACCGCATAACTGATTGTACAACTTTTTGTACAATTGTACAACCAGGAACAACACTGATCGCGCACTCCAAAATGTAACGTCACACCCCTGTTCATAGCATTCGAACGAGAACACCGTATTGTCTACGACTCGAGCACCCGGCCATAGAATAGAAAACAATACAGAAAAAAAACATAGGGCTGCTTTTACCACAGAGATACTCTGAGAAAACGTATCTATTCGCAATAACCCACAGAGCTATAGGTATACGGTGAATAGTTACATTTTCTCAAAGTATATTTGTGGTGGAACTAGCCCTGTGTTTCATTTCTGTATTGTTCTTTCTACTGTGACCCGGCTATTATTATTTTTTTATATTTTAAATAAGTTAGAAGTCTATCAAACAAATTGTCACTATATTTTTTAGTTATTTAAGATTAAATATATTAAAAAGAGTTATCCTTGTGTAGAATCGACAGGTCATTCGAATGCCTAATATATCTAGTACATTTTATATTAAAAAAGATATCTGTAATAACAGTCAATTGTCATTTTTATCTGCCAACTGTCAGTGTCATTTCAGTTTGAGTGAAGTCTGAAGTTCCTGTCAAATCGAGGAAAATTTATTTTTAAAAATATTAAAAATGACAACGTGTCTGTAGCACTAAGCTGCAAAACATTTAATTAATAACATAAAACTATTTAAATATCAATTAAAATGAATCGTAAAGATAATTTTATTATGAATCCTGAACCAGTTGCACCAAAAATTAGTATATTATGTTTAGATATAAGCAAATTTAGCAAGACTTCTCAGTTTTTGCTATGTTCTTGTGCTGTTTTCCTATTTTTTCTCTTGTACGGTTATATGCAGGAACTCATATTTACTATTGACAATTTTAAGCATTATGGATGGTTTTTAACGCTAATTCAATTTGGGTATTATAGTATATTTGGTTTTGTTGAAGTCAAAATAAGAAAAATTGAATCAAGAAAGTAAGTTGAAATAACTATTTTTTATTTATCTGGTAAGTAGATTTATGATAAATTCAAAACTGCCAAGTCTTTATAAGACTTTAAAAAAATAAAAATCATATTTTTCTTTATTAAACATATATCTAATTAGCACAAAAAGGTTAACGCAGAATTTCATAATTAAAGATCAATATTATTTTAACTGAAGTATCTCAAAAAATGCTGTTTTTGAGATACTACTATAATAATAGTTTATTTTTATAGATCTTTCCTCTCATAAAGTGGCATAACTCAAGCTGTAACCATTACATAGTAATGAGACCTTCTGTGAGGGATGTATCTCCTTATTCCAATGCAGCACAAAACTTTAAATTGCTTTCCAGTAAAATTAGGAAAAATGACAGGTTACTTTGTCAGATTGACATTAATATGTTTCTCTCCATTTTATTTATAATTTACAATATCTAAATGCACAAGAAATTGGTTTTACAAAAACTGATTTAACACCTAATTTTTACTAATATGTAGTTCATATAATTATTACAAAATGCATTTATATAAATAATATTTTGAATTTGGTATTAATGAATAAATTTATTTCTTTTAGGATACCAATTAAGATATACTTCTTTTTAGCCCTGTTAACACTGGGAACAATGGGTTTCTCAAATGCTTCTTTAGGCCATTTAAATTACCCAACTCAAGTTATATTTAAATGTTGTAAACTTATTCCTGTCTTAATTGGAGGAATTTTAATTCAAGGAAAACGATATGGACCATTGGATTTCATAGCTGCTCTTTTAATGTGTATTGGACTAACTTTGTTTACTTTGGGTTTGTATTTTTTTTTATTCAATTTCTTAAATGTAAAAGAAGATAAATAATTTCTGATTAGAAGTTGCTTGTCCTCTATAATTTTTGTCTTTTACATATTTTTTTTTAAATGGACCATATTCAAGATATTTAAGAAAAAGTGCAAATGGATAAAGAGAAAAACACCAAATTTATAATTTAAGCTGCTTTAATCCATTCTGAGGTGAACTAATTAAATTTATAGAGTTGTTTTTCTATTTTATAGAATATATCTATTATTTGCATTTGGAGAAAAAAAATTCTTCAAATAAAAGTTGCTTGTAACGCTATTCTCTATAATTTTTATTCTATACATAATTTTCTTAAAACTGTCTGTATTCGAGAAAATGTGCAAAATTCGAATTTTCAAGAAAATTGTTCAAATAAAAGTTGTTTGTGATGTCATTCTCTATAGTTTTCATTATATACATGACTTCTCTAAAATGGACGATTAAATGAACTATGGTTAGATAAAATATTACTGGTTTCTGAAATACAGGGTGTTAAAGTTGAAAATTCAAAAATTATTAAGCACTAAATTTTTTTTATTCTTAGTATAATTTTACTAAAATCGGTGTAAACATTTTTATATGATGCACATATCAGAAAAACAATCAGTTAAATAAACTTTACCAGTGGCGTACAACATGGATAAGTAACATCTTCACTACTGTCTAACAAATTATTTGGACTATACTTTTAAATTTTTTTTGTTTTTATTTTTAATTTTGGATTTTTTTTATAAAATTATTCTACAATACGAAACGATACCGGTGAATCATCCCGTGTGGACATTAAAAATTTCAAACAGTGAAGAAGAAATATTTTCTGAACATTTTTTAATCAAATATTTGTTATACTTTCATAATTCAAGATTTCTAATAAATCTGAACATAATGAGAAAAAAATTATAAACTTTAAATAGTACAAATAGAAAAAAACATACATCAATTCCATTTGATATCTAAAAACCTTAGTGCTATTTACATACTTGTGAAAAGTTACTGTATTGTCTTTGAGGTATTTTATACCACCAGTGTATTTTCAATATTTTACAGCAAATTGCAAAAAAAATATGTATACAGAAAATTACCACAATAATACAGTGTTTTTCATTGGTATATAATAATAATAATATGTTAATTAATTTTTAACCACATAATATAATACAGTATGTTTTTATCTTAATTAATAAACTTAATAATTAAACTGAAGTTGTATGGTGCCTGATCCTGGTGCACAAAAATATTGAACCAGTGCATTGTCAATTGAACATTCTATTTCAAATTTTGTACCAACTTTGTGCCATAAACATATTAGAAATTAATAATTTATAATAAAATATTTATTTCCTCTTTAACTTTAATTTTTAAGAAACTGTCTCTTTATATTTAGATATAATTATCTTAACAGTCTGTTTACAGAGTCTAAAATACCTAATAAAAATTCACTTCCATGATTTAGAATAGGTATACCTGTCTCTTTTTTTTTTGTTTTAATTTTCTGAAGATGAAGAGGATAATATAAAGACATCATTTATAACACCGTTTTTTGAGCTCCTGTTAAAAAGTTTTAGTACACCAGTTTTCCAGTGGTAAACGAAAAACTAACATAGTGTTGTCATTGGAACACAAATTTTGTACTGAAACTGCCAGAGTGTCACTAATAAAAAACGCTATAAGAAACGACACTGGTTATTTTCTATCTCCCTCTAGTGGTACTACTGTGACCCAATTGGTCAATACAAATCTTTCTAGAGATTAATTTGAAAATCTCCAATAGGTTGACAGTACCAATCATTAAAGAATCGTAAACAAAGCTATTATGTTCCAGGCAAACAAATTGTGACAGTTATTTACCTAGTTTACTTATTTATCTATTCAAAAATGGTATCTAAAGTATAAATGAGAAAAGAATAAACACTCACCTACAATTGAAGTCAACACGAAGTCACAGGTTCCATTTTTTGTTGTCTCGTCTTTCCCATCTTAGGTCCAAAAACCATTTTTTCGCGTCACCCGATATATTTAATTCCGGAAATCTTCTGTTCCCGGCGACGATCTTTCATTCTGACCTCAATACTCAACGTCTCATTCCGTTTCAATACCAAGCCTTCAATGCCTCCAGATTGTTATTAAACTCAAATTTTTTTACTTGGTAACCAAAAAATTACATTACATTTTTTGCATAATATAAATTTTAAAGGATAAACTATAAAATAACAATGTATATTATGTATACAATGTGTTAAAGAAAAAAATAGAACTCTGAAAACTATGAAGGGTTTGTTTAATAAAAAACTATAAAAAGTCTATTTTTATGTTACAGGATATTCAAGTTAAATATTAAAGAAAAAAAGGTTATTTCCTATTACTTAAATTAGTGAATAAACAAAAAAAAAATAAACAAATTAAAATAGTTGTACTTATATGTATTTACAAGTCTATCTATATTAAAAAATTTGGTTTTTTACAAATAAGTTCATTTGAGTTTAATAAAAATCGTAAAACCATCGCCGGCTAGTTATTTTGCAGCCTTGTCCGTTCGATCTGAGCAGAATTTACACCTTTGAAAAACTAAATCCTGCAGAATCATTTTCCACAGAAAATAAATTCGAAAGGTGTAAAGTTCTGAAGATCCAACGTCTTTATTGTCAAAAGAAACGTTAACAAATACACCACATCGTCAATGTCGATACAACAGACAGAAAGATGTTTCTGCGCATGTGTCCCATCGGCATAGACGACGTCGACAAACATGAGTTGCTTTTCGAACAAAAACTTATTTTAAAACCGATTAAAATTGATGTATATACTAGCAACTCCAACACACGCCTACCCGTTACTTTTTTCGGACTAATAGCGATACAACACATTGATTTTAAAGCACTGAAAAGAGAAAGAAATAGTAAATTAAGCTAATTTTTAAAATAAAGTGAAATTGTTTAAATAATTTCTCCTATACACACTTTTAATAGAAATATCTTTAATTTTCTCTATATATATTCTTTTTAAATATCAATATTTCCCCCTCTAAACGGCACACCATTGATCTACATTAAAAATATCACTTCTGTTTCCCCCTTTCTAAAACGGCACGCCATTGATCTATATTAAAAATTTTGCATGTAAAAATAATCCAATTATAACTATAAATGTACCACCAAAATTTGAAAATTAGTTCCTCTTTTCTCAAATGAGATATAGGGGCTCTTACTTAATAAATAATAATAAAGTTAATGGTAATCCTGAAGAGAGAAAAGAAAATTTTTTTTTACAAAAAACATATACAGTGTATCAGTTTAAAACCGTTTCCGTTAAATTATTGGCGCTGACCGCTATTAACTGTTTATTACCCCCCCATAATTCTCAGAAACCCTCCCCATAAAAATTTCTAGCTACGCTACTGACTTCAATGTAGGTATATTAAATTAGTAAAAATAACTAAATTATATTGTTATTTCATTATGAAAGCTTTAAAAGACTCTCCAGACATATATTTCTAACTTTTCTACTTAGAACAATTCTATTACCTGTCCCATCCTATTGAAATGCATCAGGCCCAGACTATTTTAATAAAAGAAATTATTGCATTTAATACATCTAGGGTTTAAAGTAAAAATGAGTTTATCAAAATGAAATAAAATTTAGGAATCGAAAGCGTGCAATACATACAAAAATTGTAAAAATGTTCGATAATTTGTATACAGGCAACGCTTTACACAGCGTCATTTCCCGTTTCAAAAATTTCGGCATTTCAGTAAATTTCGACAGAAATTAGCAATTCAAATTTGAAAATACTTACTCAGAATACTAGGAACACTGATTTTTTCATATTTCTCACACGAATAAAGATAAAATAGAATGTTATTTCACGAAAAATATTCTTACAAAACTCAGTTACACAATTATAGACGCCATTTTATGCAATTTTATTCATTTGTTTTTAAATACTGTATTGGGAATACGAAGCATGGCTAACTTGGATAAACAACAAAACTATAAAGAACGCTGTGATGAGGAAAAATAAGGCTAGTGCTACATTAGACTGCAGGCGATAAAAGACGACAAATAGAAAAAAATAAAATTTCATCTGCAAAATACGTTTTGCTGCTAAAAGAAATTAATATTAAAATATATTTTTGTTTTAAATTTAAATATTATACTTGATTGTGATACATTCCAGGCGTAGTAATTTCAATTATAAAAAAATCAGATACCTAACCTATAAATTATTCTAAGTGAATTAATATTTTCTAATATAACGAATGTAATATTATAATGAAACTAATTTCCATTTAGGAAATAACTAGATTGCATACATACTACAAATATTATGTAGTTGTTGAACACTTTAAAATTCGAGATTTGTACCGGAATAAACAAGGGTTTGTCATGAGAAACGAATAGTTTAATATAAATAAGGTACTTACAATGTATGTTGGTTGTAACGTTCCTTCAGTTTCCATCGTAAATTCTAGTTGTCACACTCTTAAATATTGTTAAAAATAATAATTTCACTATTTCAAAGCAAGATGACGCAAGCTAACAAATTCAAATCGAATCGTCTGTTCTCGCCGTTCTCGGCACTGCCCGATGGTGCCTCGTCGCAGCTTTGTGAGCGATTGGACGTACTTTAACACATATTACGTCTCAACTACAGCAACATATCTTTTGTTTTCACCGACAGAATGCTTTGTTTAATGGGCCGGACAAAGATAGGTAGATAACTAGATTAAGACGCATCGTGAATATTTTGTCGTTTTTCGCTGTTCCGTGCGATACGCATGTGTAACTAAGATCGGTATTGCGGTGTTGCCGTTGTTACTAAAATTACAACAAATCTGACTATTTTATTAAAGAACTTAATTATAATTAAGAAAATTGCGTGAAAAATTAGAAAATCGTCTAACATATAAAAATGAATTCCTATTTCCCTTGGTCACGGCATCACGCGTGAACGGCTGGACTGATTTCGCTAATTCTTTTTTTGTTGTGTTTGTTATTGCCGGAGAAAGTTCTTATGAAAGAAAAAATTAAGAAAATTACGCGGAAAATTAGAAAATTTTTATATATATAAAAGTGAATCCCTATTTCCCTTGGTCACGGCATCACGCGTGAACGGCTGGACCGATTTCGCTAATTCTTTTTTTGTTGTGTTTGTTATTGTCAGGAGAAGGTTCTTATGAAAGAAAAAATTAAGAAAATTGCGCAAAAAATTAGAAAATCGTCAAATATATATAAAACTGAATCCCTATTTCCCTTGGTCACGGCATCACGCGTGAACGGCTGGACCGATTTCGCTAATTCTTTTTTTGTTGTGTTTGTTATTGTCAGAAGAAGGTTTTTACAAAAGAAAAAATTAAGAAAATTGCGTGGAAAATTAGAAAATTTCTATATATATAAAAATGAATCCCTGTTTCCCTTGATCACGGCATCACGCGTGAACGGCATCACGCGTGAACGGCTGGACCGATTTCGCTAATTCTTTTTTTGTTGTGTTTGTTATTGTCAGGAGAAGGTTTTTACAAAAGAAAAAATTAAGAAAATTGCGCGGAAAATTAGATAATTTCTATATATATAAAAATGAATCCCTGTTTCCCTTGATCACGGCATCACGCGTGAACGGCTGGACCGATTTCGCGAATTATTTTTTTGTTGTGTTTGTTATTGTCAGGAGAAAGTTCTTATAAAAGAAAGAATTAAGAAAATTCGCTCGGAAAATTAGAAAATTTCGCTAATTCTTTTTTGTTGTGTTCGTTATTATCCAGAAAAAAAACAAAGAATGTTGTATATCATAAAGCATTAGAACACTTGTTTCTGAAATATTTTTTTAGTGAATTATACCAATTCGAAATCAATATTCATAGTTAAGATAGGACAACGTCTGTTGGGTCCGTTAGTGTTGAATATTTCTGTAAAGCTAATTTTAACATTTTTAACAATAAGTGGAAAAAACGTTTTATTTATAAAAAGCAAATAACGTGAGATAATAGTAAATTTGGGTAATTACTTATAAAGATAATTGAAATAGGACGGTAATTATCTGGCTGAGAAGTATCCCCTTTTTGTTATACAGAGGAAGAATTATGGAAGATTTAAATGCTTCTTATGGAAAGTGTATCATGTTATAAAGACATCCATTCATAAATGTTGATATATAATTGTTTCATTTTAGATTTTAAAAGATCTTTTTATACAGAAAATCACTTGTATCCATAAAATAATAATAAACTTTTCCCTATACAGAATTTAAGCTGATATACTGTTAAAACTATTGAAAAAAGTAGCATTTTTTTAATTCCTGTATTTTTTAGGAACAGTTTTCTAATTACATTTTTTTTAGCTGATTCTCAAGTGCAACCAAATTTTAACACAACTGGAATTGTAATGATTTCGTTGGCATTATTATGTGACGCAGTAATTGGCAATGTTCAGGAAAAATCTATGAAAAATTATGGGGCCACAAATGCAGAAGTAGTTTTATATTCTTATGGTCTAGGATTTTTGTACATTTTTATTGTGATGTTACTCACTGGAGATTTTACAGATGGAATTAATTTTTTTTCTCAGGTAGGCAATATACAGATTCATAAAAATAATTCGGTTTGTTTTACAGTCAATTAAAAGAGTATGAAAGACAGTTGGGCCAATGAGTCTAAAGTCTGAATATTAGCTGCTTAACCTTTAATAAAAATTGAAATTTTTTGATAACGTTAATGTTAAAAAAAAATTCATATGGATCCAACTTTATGAAGATTTATAAAAATATGTCGATTTCAGATCTTTTGTAGTAGTGATTTCAAATTTTAAATAGGAAACGTACAAATATAAGTATTGCATTGAATGTGAAATATTTATTTCAGAATCCTAAGAAAATGTATGGTTATGTATTTCTCTTCTCATTTACCGGATATTTGGGAATACAGGTAGTTCTAACTTTAGTAAGGACATCAGGAGCCTTTGCAGCTGTAACTGTTACAACTTGTAGAAAGGCTGTGACGATCACTATTTCATTCATTTTGTTCAGCAAACCCTTCATATTTCAGTAAGTATACAAAAATGAAGAAATAACTTTATTGATATTAAATTAAATCTTTCTTTTTAGGTATGTTTGGTCTGGATTGCTAGTCGTGCTAGGCATTTATCTGAATTTATTAAGTAAAAAACATCCATTTACTCTATCAGACTGTGAACATAAACTTGAATCGATTTATAGGTATTTACGATCTAAATTTATTGCAAGTAGTTATAAAAGTGGACATTATTTAACAGAAGTCTGACTGTGATTATATGGCTGTGATATTTTAATTATAAACTTAAATAGAATGTTAATACAATTTTGGATATTTTGATGCAGTTAAAATTTAAGAATAATTTTTTTCTCATCATTTTTAAATTAAAACATAATAAAATAAAGTAAGTTTGAGTATAATTATTTTAATTTGAACATTCCGTCTGATCAACACTAAAAATAATATAAATTACGATTTTGTATATATGTTAAGTTTTATTAGATTTGTATTTTATTATTTTGGAAAATAAATATATTATTGTATTGTATTTTCCGTCGTTATTTTGTCAGAGACCAATTTTCAGTTTTGACCAGTCATATCTGTAACTGTTAATGGAAACAATGTGTTACTATTAGTCCAAAAGGTGATAACGAATTTGGGGAAGGTATTTTAGGCATCTTGAAATTAGTAAGTATCTATGTTAATGAATATGGAATCGAGTCTGACCTTTATCCCAAAAAATATATTTTAGGCAACTTGGAATTATTTTAATCTTTTATTTTAACATTTACAGAATGTAGAAATAAAAATTTCATATTATTTTGGACGGTTTCGGAGGCATATTTAAGTAAAGGACATGATGAGTAGAATCCAAAAATATAACAAAATGTAGGGTGTCATTTTTAAAATAAGCGGTTTAAGTAGACGTCGAGAACTATCGATAGTATGAACTATCGCGATAGTATTTGATACTGCCCTAACCTGCAAAATTAGAAAAAGTAGAACTCATTACCTTAACTTCATTTTGTGTAAATGAAAATCTATTTTCGCAAAACAGAAAAAAGTGAAAAAGAAAAACGTTTTCTCAAGAAGCATTTAATTCGTGGTCATTGTTTAGTATTTTTGGGTATCATTTTCAAACAAATAATTTAGTTCGTGTTTATAACCATCAAATATTTGTAACAATGGAAAGATTCTTGTTTAATAAAGGCAGTATCAACATTATTTTTGTGTTTAGTTCAAACGTTTTGTAAACCAAGTTTTTTTTCCTAAAATTTGAATTATTTCATACCGGAAAAACTATCGGATACTATCGATAGTTTATGCTTCAACTATCGATAGTTCTCGACCTCTAGGCTTAAGGTATGATTAAAACTGGTGTTTCTCAAGGTACCGTTTTAAGACCCACAAATAAAAATTTGTAATTGATGTACTAACTTTCGAATAATTTGTATTTGTATTTCGAATTTTGTATAAGGACAGCAAAAGAATGTGGAGATATTCCGCGGTTAAAAATTTAATTATTGCATTTAACTCTTAAAATTTAGAATTTCGTAACAGGATAACAGAACAGTGAAGAAGTATTTGGCGTATAAAAATTTGTATTTAATGCACTTAAGTCTTGGAAATTTTGTATCAGGACAGCAGAAGAGTGAGTAGGTATTCCGCGATTAAAAATTTAATTGTTGCATTTAACTCTTAAAAATTTAGAATTTTGTACAAGGATAACAGAAGAGCAAGGATGGCGTATTTGGCGCATTAAAATTTGTAATTGCTAAACTTAACTCTTGAAAATTATTAGGTTAGCAGAAGAGTGAGAAGGTATTGGTGTTTTGAAAAGTGCAGTGTTTTAATTGATGCATTTACCCAGAGAATACACCAAATCCCAGAGATATCCACATAATATCTTTTGTGGATATCCAATATATCCATAGGATATCAGAAATATCCCGTGAATCTAATATGGATATCCAAATGTCAGTCTTATATCCAGAATATAGAAGATATCCTATGGATATCCAGCAAAATATCTAATGGGTATCTCCCAGACAATACAAGAAATCCCAGAGATATCCACAGAATATATTTTGTGGATATCCGATATATCCAGTGAAACTAATATGAATATCCAAATGTCCGTCTATATCCCAGGATTTAGAAGATATTCTATGGATATTCAGCATATTTTATGGGTATCTTTAGTAGAGGTTCATAAGTAACCAATGATTATTGAATAACGTCCAAAGAAAATAGCAGAGAGAAAATATTTTCAACACTATGCCTTTGATTTTGCCCACTAAGGAGAAAATCATCCTTATTAGGACTCTTCAGCAATAAATAGAAATTCTCGACTCCAGTCTCTAATGGAGTCTGATTGCAATACCAATTTCGATCGAACTCAATTACGGCGGGTTGAGCATGAGTAGATATTCAAAGAGCGAAAGTGGTATATATATAGTAAGCAAAATCAAAGGTCGCTGTAGTACCTAGTTCAGAGACTAGGTGGAATAAAAGCCAGGCGGACTATTTTTAAAAAAGGAAATAATTCTAGTCCTAATAAGGACGAAATCGGTCCAAGAATGACTTTCTTCATAGTGGACATAATCAAAAATTACGAGTACATCTAGTGGATGTCCATGGGATATTGAATACACCTTAAAAAAATTAATTTTAAATATCTGAACGGTACTATTAGCCACAATGGCGTAATTTTTTAATAATTTGCTATATTATTACTATTATTTATGGACATTTGCATGTCTATAAATTACATCTCATGGATATAAAATAGATATCCACCATGGACTAGACATTTAGTGGATATTGGGATGTCCAGTAGATATTCAAAGGATTTGGTGTGCTGTCTGGGTAACTACTGTAAAAATTTCGGATTTTGCATTAGCATAGCATAAGAGTGAGAAGGCATTTGGCGTTTAAAGAGTAAGGGAAATAATTTTAATTGTTGCATTTAACTCTTAAATTATTCCATAATAGCATTATTTTGTTCAGGAAAAATACATTAAGTGACTATTGGATTTTTCATTCAATCTGACTAAGCATGTTTTGCCAAGGATCGGGTCGGTGGTGTAACAGTCTCACGCGCTTATATTCATTTATAGGCAAATTTGTGGTGAGAGACAGACGGCTTCGAGTACCAGACCAGACCAAGTGGATTTTTAGTTAAATTGCATGATTCGGTACAGGATTTGATATGTGCCGTATTAATAGAAATTAAATTTCTTTTGATATTACATGCAATTATAAAATCGCCATGCATTACCGTCTTGATGATAGTGGGTGAGGTTTTCCTCACCTGTAAGTCGCCCTGGAGCGCCACGGCAAATAATAATATCCGTCCCTTTCCCCGCACAAGCTCAGCTTTTGGGGTTAAAATTCACTCGTAAGGGGGTAAATTAGGGAAACTATTATTATTATATGTTTATGGTACCTACATAGCGACACTAAAGGTCAGGATATTTCTATCCTCTACTCCGAACAGCCGTCCCTTACTCCAATTCTGTATGGTTCATTTAATGCAGTGGCGCAACCAGAATTTTGTATTAAGAGGGATTGGGAATATTTAAAAAATATATTATTTTACCTAGTTCAAGTTCAAAATCGTTTAGGGTCGCATCTGAGTTTGGGGGATTTTAAACCCTAAAATACCGCCCTCGCTGATCTACTGTGACCAAATCAATAATAATTTATCTAAATGTAATTTCTGGTGAGTTTACTTACCTGAGAATAGAAGTGGTTGACATTGACGAGGCTGGCATAGTAGAATAGCTAATCCCACTATTCCAGCTAAGAGTCGATTCTTGACTGGTAGGAATTTTTGACATTTTTCTATGTATAGGAAATTCATAACATTTTCCTACATGGAAAAATGTCGATATTTCTACAAGTCGAGAATCGATCTCAGAATATCTTGAATACAAGTAAACAATAGCTATGGACAGGGCCGACGAGAGGGGAGTAGCCGAGACTAATTCCTAGGGCCCGGGCTCAAGTGGGGGCCCGGCAGCTTGAGGTGAGGACCAGGGGCGGCCCGTTATCAAAATTTTGGGGGTTCACAGTAGCAGAATATAGATCCCGGAAGCGAATTGGCATTGTTTACGATGCTACAACGCATACATGTTGCAGCGCGGTAAAGAATGACTGAACAGTCGCTCTCTATAACAAGACAAATCTTACTGCGACTCAGCACTAGCAGGTGTTCAGACGTAGTAACTATTGTATTGTGAATACGCCTGCGATATTCGAGGCATTGTTTACAGCGTTGCAGTCGAAACCACGCAAATTTGCTTTCTTTTGTGATTTTGTAGGACTATATCATAAAAATATCATAATAATAATAATATACTATTGTCAAAAATAGTTTATTAAACCACACTAAAATACAAAATTTACTAGTTATATTACATTTATATTTATTTAAAAAAAAATGTTATAAAATGGTAAGCATACAAAGTTTTATCCTAGTGGACATTTCCATGTGATTTCGCATTTGGTCTATTAAGATCAATATGTTAAAGATCTTTGTCCTTTAGGGTTGTTTGGTATCTCCTTCTTGAATGCGCTTTACTCGATGTTGAGTTAGAACGCGATAAATAATAGCAGCGTATCCATAATACAATAGTTACTACGTCTGAACACCTGCCGGTGCTATGTCGCAGTAAGATTTTTCTGGGTATAGAGAGACGACTTTTCAGTCATTCGTTATCGCGTTGTTACAATATGTATGCGTTGCAGCATAGTAAACAATGCGCATCCCGGTACAGATATAGGTAAAAAACTGTCAGTGTTTTAGAAAGGTATATTACAAACTTTATAAAACACTGAAAGTTTTTTCATACATCTGTACTGATACTTATATTCTGTCACTGTGAACACCTGCACGAGCCGCCACTGGTGAGGACGGTTTCGATATTTTTAGAAGGTCGCCACAAAGGCAGAAGAAGAGCACAAGAAGGAAGACCTTTTCTTGACGACCTTTTTTTTTAGAGAATTTACTAAGGAGGAGGAGGAGATGTTTGTGCTTGCTTAAAGACCTTTTGTTTCTTTAGAAATGTGACATTGAAAAGGTTTAATTTTTTTTTATAAAATTGTTGCGGGGCCCTACCTGGCTCTCGGCGGCCCTGGCGATGGAAGCTACAGAGACATACTCAAAAAATTCAAGCATATACCTAAATTTTTTTTGTAAATAAGTGGTAAATATTGTGGTTATTAAATTTACTGTATTTTAAATACTTTATTTGTTCTTTTTCTGTTTACAGACTATTTTTACAGAATATGTAATTAATTTTACAGTGCATTCACCTGAGAAAATGTATATTATTGTTTATATTAATTCAAATATTTTCTCCGTATTTCAAGTATTAAAACTACAAAATAGAAAACTTTAATAATAACAAATTGTAGGTACAGTCACTGGCATACGTTTCAAATTTATTCCAACAAAAAAGTATCTACTAGTGGAGTATAATAACTATTGTAATTAAACCAGAAAAGAATAAAAAAATGTCACTATATGCAGAGGTCGAGAATTATCGACAGTATTGATAAAACTATAGTACATTAGACTAATCACGATCAGTAAATTTTGTTAAGTTGATCAGCTATTCGCTAAATAAACTACAATTGTCTATACTAAGGTTGTAAATATCAGTAATTAGTGGCAAAAGCCAATACATGTTAAAAATGTAAATTCCTCAATTTAAACATTGGATTCCCAGGCCGGACTTGTCTTAAGAAAACACCTGTATTTTCAGAAATCGCTTTCTTTTGGTGAGTAAATGTTAGTATTTTTATAAATTATGTATTTTGTCAATAATTGCCAGTATCTAATATACATTAGAAAAACTATCATCGTTGGAAATCATACTTTTTACCATATACTTAAGGATTTTGAATTTGGGATTAACAGAGAAATGATGTACATTTGAATGTTCGATCGTCTTTATTTACGTGTTAATTGCTGATTATCGTAACCATTGATAATATCGACCTCTGCTATATAGCTGCATAGTAAACAAAATATGCATAACAGATTAAAAATTGTATTACTTCCATTTTGAGTAGCACTTTCATTGATATTTTGCTGGTTTAAGGACTACAGTGGGCTTAAAAAATTGTTGTTCTATTTTTCGAAAAAAAGATATTTTCTTTGAAACATTTTAAAAACTGGAGGGTTATTTTTTTACAGTAAATAATAAATTCCTAAATTGAAGGTCTCTGCATATTTTTAAAAAATAAGCTAAACAATTGTTCTGGTATTCATTTCATAGAAAGTTATGCAAGTTTATTAAATATTGAAACCAAAAATGTTATATTTCTATAAAAAAATTGAACATGACTATTTACAATGTTCTTTGTCGTCGGACATCTATAACACTTACTTTTATATAAGTCCGAGTCTAGTTATTTGTTGATCTAAGAAGGAAGAGTAATGTCAATTGTCAGATGTTACAAGAATTGAACAATTTATACTGGATTTAATTTGTTGCACCAAATGTAAGTTTTCTGCACTAATCGCATTTGATTTGTTCAGTGTAACTTCAAATATTTGACAGTAGCACACGTATAGCTTAAAGTTTTGACAAGTATGACAGTTTGAATAAAATGTCGTGTGATATTATTGCAAAAAATAAAATACACTAATAGTGGATTTTATTTATTGCACTAGCTGCACTAATTTCATTTCATTTGTTCAGTGTATCTTCAAATATTTGATTGTTTCATATACTTTTGACAACTATGACAGTTTGAATCCATTATTTGGTCATCCAAATAACGTGACTTAAAATGGTGGATCCTTGGCAAAAAACAACAAAAGTGTGTAGGTACTTCCCTTGACAAAAACACTTCTAGTGAAGTTATTAGTCTAAGTTTGTGCATTATTTTTTGGGATTGTTTTTTTTTTCGGTGTTTAGTTGAAAAATTGCATAAATTGATATTTATTAAGAATATATTAATTGTATGATTAACTATAACAGTCAAATAATAATGAAAAAGTCAGGTCAACAAACTTTGTTGTTTTTGCCAGCTAATACAAGGTACTTTTTGACAGTTAAAAGGTAGACATGACATTTTTGTTACACAATTTTGTATATTTAAAAAACGTTTGTATATTATATTAAAAATATAACTACAAGAGATATAGATATAACAAACCCAAATACATTAGCATAGTAATATCTCTTGAAAAAGAAATTCTACTATCAGAACCACTAAAAACAAAATTTCTACTTTAAGCCCACTATAAAACTCCACTGTAGATCCCCGAATTTAAAATGAACTCAGATACTGTTTAATAGCATCCGAATCCCTGTTTAACAAAGCTGCATTAAGGTGTATATTTTCAATAGACTGTTGTACAGTTCTCTCGGTTCCTGGTGGTTTGTGTTCCTGGAAGAAAGTCTCTACTTCTTTAGCTCTTTCTTCGGTTGTGAAATTTTCCGTTAAATATTTGACCAATCTGGTCAGAAGGTAACCACTGAAACGTTCTCTAATTTGCGACCAGTTGTCTTTAAAGAACTGCCAAGCTATGTCTCTACCGGAGCTGCTTAATCCGACCGAGGCTACAACGAATACCGTGTCTTGGGCTCTAACCTCATCCTAAAATAAGAAAAAATAATTTAAAAACATTGAATTTATCAATGACTAGTTTTTAATATTAAAAAAATTGTCTAGTTTTTTCGGAATTCACAGTGACAGAATATAGGTATCAGTACAGATGTATGAAAAAACTTTCAGTGTTTTAGAAAGTTTATAGTATACTTTTCTAAAACACTGACAGTTTTTTACCTATATCTCTACCGGGATCTATATTCTGCTACTATGAACCCCCAAAATTTTGGTCACGAGCCGCCCGTGCTAGTAACATATTACTACCACTGATCTGTATTATTTTACTGGATAGGATATAGCCCTCTAAAAAACGTTCCGAAAAATTGGCCGATTTGGGCAAATAATATGGCGGACCGGATGTTATTTAACATAACCTTTATTTCCATTTGTCATCACATTTGTCATTTAATTGTGTCAACAAGTTACCATGAGATGTTTTTTTTATTTATTTAGGTAGTATCGAATAGCATTACTATATTCGTGAAGATACAATATGCTTCACGTTTCCATTTTTATATTTTCTTTCATATAATAATCAAATTATGGGTGAATTGTCCCGAAGGACATTGCCCGCAAAAGGAATAGAAGAAGAATAAGAAGAAAAACTAATCAAATTATAGGTTAGGTATGTCAAATTATCCCAAAATTCAGTTATGTGATCCCACCATAATTTGTCCAAATCGGCCAGCAGTGTTGCACTTCCGGTCTCCTTGGTGGAACGGATTTTTAGTATGTTAAATATAGCCTATATCCTATCCAGTAAAATAATATAGATCAGTGATTATTACATATATACAATTAAAAATAGAGTGATTTACAAATGTATGACGGTATTTTTTTTTTAAATCTCACTAATTTCACTGTGACATCAGTCAAAAAGTACTACTCAATATTTTTATTTTCGCGTCAAAACATTGCACAGTGCACATTTCTTATAGTGGTAATTACATTATTTTTTCAAGGATTAATTCAAAACCCTGTACATATCTATCAAAAACTAGTCATACGATTGAGTTGGGCCCATTGACACTTTTAGTTATTAGGTTGAATACAACATCAGAAAATTTTATTAATCGCTACTATATATAAGAAAAATGCAGTGTCCTTTCTATCAATTAATTTGTTGCTTAATATAACAGGATAAATAATAAAAAAATGAGAAGTATGACAAAAGAAAAATCGGCTGAAAGTTAATTTTCTTTTTTTTTTAGTTTAATATTGACTTTTTCATAAATTTTTAGATTTTCTAGGACATTTTATTTTCTTTATACCCTGCTATAGGAATTATCTTCATTTACAGGGTGAAGGTTAAAGAAGATACTAGTTAATATAAGGTTTAAATACACAAACTACTCACAGACATAGCAAATTCGAGAACTTTCTTCAACAACACCGGATCTTTAGTAGCTCCCAAAGCCCGACTGATTCTATCCTTTTCCTCGTGAAGATCACTAGATCTGTACAAATTCAACAGTGTATCATATTCATCTTTGCCACCGGCTCTCAAAATAGTTTTGTAGCATGCGCTTCGCAAATCTGCCGGTAAAATTTGTTTTCCTTTAACGTGACTCGCGAATCTCGTTCTGGCTTCGCCTATGGTGTGGTCCTCGTCCAACCATGCGAGCCTGCCCAATACTAATCCCCTAAGGAGCGTGTCCAGATGGGTTTCTCCGGATTTTTGTGTCCAACCCAATCTCTTGTACACTTTACTCAATAGTTTCTTTTGGTACTAAAAAAAAGTTTGTTTCAATATCCGTATACAGAAAAATGGGGTCACCAGTGCCTAGGCTACAAGGTTACTACTTTTATATACTTAATGTATTAAAAGTAACCTCCTCATAGACTAGGCCACGAGCCGCGCCTGGAGGTGACACAATATAGGTTGTTTACTTACATTATTATAACTGTCTTTGTATGTTGTTTGTCCAAGAAGTTGTCCCAATTTCCCTAAAATATTGTTTATTGAACACCAAACGTTATAATCTGGTTCATCTTCGTAAGCTTGAAGCAATTTCAAAGCTTCAACGGTACTCGTGTGTCCAGCTTTGACCATTGCAAAGAGATCGTCTAAGAGACCTAACCTAAATACATAAGAATGTTTTGCAATGATTATTAAAAAAATATACTGAATATTACTTAGTATTTTTTTATGTTATGACAAATAGGAATTATGTGTAAAGAACCAAAATGGTCCCATGTGGCCCTCCAAGCTGTTTAATGCGGCCCTTCAAGCTTTTTTGTGCAGCATCAAACACTATTATTATTAGGAATAACTTACAGTCCTTTTTTGAGACAAATTGTCCCAAAGCTTATTAAAACAACATGAGGACTTTTCTTTTGCTTTTGTGCTTTATTTACATTTCAAAAAGGTGGCAACTTTGGTTATCACAAAAAAAAATTGTGGCCCATGTAGCATAACAAACAGATTTATGTGGCCCAAAAGAACAAAAGGTTGAATACAGCTGCTGTAGATTAGATTTGGAAGGAGTTGGACATTATTTGTCCTTGTCCACCGCGACCTTTTCAGATCTATTGTGAAAAAATATAGTTGGTGTAATTGAAATAATTCTATATATTATTAATGTCCTGTATTATTGTCATTCTATAACCAGCTTTACCCTATTTTCAAGTGTATTTAATTCTATTTTTGAAATTGATATAATAGTGTCAAATTTAAAAGTGGTACATTTTTGATAATTGGTTAAATTCTTTCATCTATTGTCATAGGTATACAGGCTGTGTTACGCTCAACAGAACAGAATCTGGTGGGTAAACTACAAAATATATTAAAAATTCCTATCTATGTGGCGGCTACAATTTAAAATTAACTTAATATATACAGCATGTCTCAAACCAAACAGACAGTAAAATAAAAATATAACTTTACATTGGTATTCTGGTTTGGGATACCCTGTATATATGAAACTAATTTTAATTTGTAGCCGCCGTTTAGTTGTATATTTATGCCAAAGGAATTTACCCACCAGGCTCTGTCTTTTGATCGTGTCCCACCCTGTATATGACAAAAATTGAATAAATTGATATTAGTGGTCAGATCAGAATCTTTAAAAAAAAATTACCTATCTAAAGGTGCCAGCGTTCGATCCCGAATAGCAGGTACTAATTTTTCCAACATATCTGGTGGATATCGAGTTCTGTAAAATCCAATGGTTCCTGGATTAACCTTAATCCAATCAGACTGTCCAATATCAGGTACAACGATTTCAGCGGTTCTTGTCGTAAGAACGGTACTAACGACTTCTTTGGATGGGTTTTTCGAGGTAGATATTGAAATTGGAATCATCCATAAGTAATCTTCGTCGGTTGGTTTCGATCCATCGGCTGTGAATTTTGACTGGGAGAGTGTAAATGTATTGGCATCGCCTAAAATAATTTAAATAACATTCAATTATGTATTCTTGACTTATTATATATACATTTAGAACTTAAATTGATTATTCAGATTGCCGATAGCATCTTGTAGTAGGAATAAGGTTGAAAACTATGCACAAACAGCAAAAAACTTGTTGTAAGTGATGGTACATCCAACAATACACCTTACAATCAGTCTCGTCATCGTTTCATCATGATAAATAAAATAAGATTACAATGAGTTTGTTTAGTAATGTTTAACTTACACGGACACGTACCTGGTGATTTAGGTGCAACTTTAACAACAGGAAATCCTTTCTGTTTCGTCCAGGTGGACATAACATCTCCTACTGGTTTTTTACTAGCTTCTTCTAGAGCAGCCCACAAATCTTCTGTGAACGTATTTTTATATTGATGTTTGGTTAAGTACAAATGCATTCCCTTTCTGAAATCCTCATCACCAATGTAATGATGCAACATTCTAATGACAGATGCTCCCTTATTGTAACTAATATCATCGAAAATCTCATCAATTTCTGAAGGATTTCCAACAGGTACTTCAATGGGATGAGAGTTTTTCAAACTGTCCAATTCCAATGCTTTGATATATGAATCGTTGACGAATTGGGTCCATATATCGTATTCTGGAAAGAGGTAGTTTACACAAAGAAATTCGACGAAGGAGGCGTAACCTTCGTTCAACCAAAGATGGGTCCACCACTCCATGGTGACTAGATTTCCAAACCACTGATGAGCTAGCTCATGACCGACCACCAAGGCTATCCATTGTTTACTGTGAGCTGAAGTGTTCTGAGGATCAACTAGAAGACAAGTTTCCCTAAAATGGAGGATATTTTTTTTTACTATTTCTGAATTGAGAAAAAAATTGATGATAATAATTTGTAAATTAGTCAGATTGCCGGTAACATCTTTGGGTGCAAATAACTGAGAAGTATTCATTTAAAACAAAGAACTCTATCAGTTTCATTTGAACCATCAGTCTCGTCATCGTTTCATCATAGAGATATCAAAAAAATTGTTATGGTAATTTAATGTTTTATGATTATTTTATAAAAGGAAAAGTATTCGTCAAATTATACGAATTTGTGAAAATTTCCTAGTTCACAAAGCGCCATGTGTTAGTTTTAATGTCATAACCTAAATAAAAATAATTGAGGATATGTTAAGTTTAGTTTAAATAAATAGTATTTGCTATTCCAGTTATTAAAACAAAGTATGACAAATTATTTGAAGTCCCATGGGTGATTTTTATATCTAAATTTATTTTAATTGACACTGGTTCACTCTCTTGATAAAATTCAGCTCAAATATGTGTATCTCTGAAGTGTGTTCATTTGACATGTACCAATGGACTGGCTCTCTAAGAATTTCTGGTTAGATTTGTATTCTGTATTGGAAATTATAACGACTATTGTTTATTTTCACCCACATTTCTTGATTATTTTAAAATGAAATTCGTACCTTTCCAAAATGTATAGATAATAATAATAATAATAATAATAATAATAATAATAATAATAATAATAATAATAATAATAATAATAATACATATAAAAAAAAAAAGAATTTCATCATACAAAAAATGAATAATGATCAAATCAAAAATTTCGTACTTTTGTGAACAATTCAAATTTATTTGAAAATTATTATAATATATAAATAACTTGTAATACTATAAATCAATCTATACCATTTAAAGAAAAGAATAGCTAAAGTTGAATGGAAATGACAAGTGACAGAAAATACAGCACTGAATATTTTCAGTAATTTTTTAAAATAGACTTAGAACAGAGAAGAATATTGGAAAATATATAATACTTAAAAACTAAAATACACTTTTATTTTTACCTAATTACCTCTTCATGAAACCTATAGTAATATACAGTATGTCCCCCTAGGTTGGAATTATATGGAAAACTTTTTTATTATTAATTTTAGAAAAAAAGTTATTTTTCATAAAAAGTTCTGCATTATCTAAAACCTAGAATACAGTCATCAAATATCAAATTTTTTCAGTGGTATACGAGGTTTGTCAAAAATATGAGTTTTACTCAAGAATGACTGATGGTTGTATTTTAGGTTTTAGACCATGCTCGACTTTTTATAAAGAACAACTTTTTTTCCTAAAATTACTAATAAAAAAGCTTTCCTATGTCACCAACTGTCTACGTAAATTCGCGGCATATGAAAATCTTTTTTATTATTGATATTGGGAAAAAAGTTATTCTTTACAAAAAGTTGAGCATGGTCTAAAACCTAAAATACAACCATCAGATATCAAATTTTATCAGTCGTATAAGTAAAACTCATATTTTTTGACAAACCTCGTATAGGTTTTAGATAATGCAGAACTTTTTATGAAGAATAGCTTTTTTTCCTAAAATTAATAATAAAAGTTTTCCATATGATTCCAACCTAAGGGGACATACTGTATAAAAATGTGTCCATAAGACGCTGGTTAAAAACTAAAAGGAAAAATTACAATATCGCTTCTTGTACAGAGGGCAGAAGACCGCGCGGGGTGAGAGGAAGAGTTTCAAGTAAAGAATTAATTAAAGTTTGTGGTTTATTTTTTTAAATTCCATATATTTGCTGTTCCCTATTGACATCACTTATTTTCACAAATTACCACACCATTTATAACAACAACCAAATGATTGAGGTCGTTGGAAGTAGAATAAATCAGTGCATCATCTGTAAATAAGTGGAGATAGTAATCATTGACTATTTGTTCTATATCATGAATATAAAATAAAAAGCGTAAAGGACCGAACAAGCCTCCGAGGTACACTACAACAAATTTCTAGTTCAATTAAAATAATAATAATTATAATAAACGTTTATATATTTAAATTTTACAAAAAAAAAGTTAGAAAAACAAGAATATTTGAAATAAGGCAGAAGTTCAAGTTTATGATATAACATCATAAACTTGCTCTTCCATTTAACCCCAATCTAGGGGATGATGGTGGTAAGATTTTTATACAAAAACCTTACAAATCAGTCTATTGTAAATGTGCCAAAAATTAGATGTTCATCTCATCTGTAACCATTTTTAAATTTGAACTATGAAAGTTCAGGTTAAAAATTTTTTAAGTTCAAAGATAAGAAAAAAAATTAAAATTTTGGATATGTACGTAGAAAAAAATCGTAGATTGCCTCTAAGTTTCTATTTTTTTAAGGGTGCCACCCCCTTCATCTCCCTCTAGCAAATTGAGGTAATATTTTTGTACAAAAACGTTGCAAATCAAATATGTTAATTTACCAAAAATTAGATTTTTATCTTGTTTGTAACTATTTTTAAATGTCAACCCCCACATCTGAACTATGACAATGTAATTCAAAAATAGTCCAAATATATTTTTGAAAAAATTTTAACAAAAGAAAATTGAAATTTTGGGTTTGTATGCAGGAAAAATCGTAGATTTCAACTGTTTTATTGAAAAAATTGTAAATTTATTTTTTGAGGGTGACGATCACTCCATATCAGCTAGGGGGTGGGATGGGCAAACATTTTTTATGCAATTTTAATTTTTTTTGGGATTAGTATATCCAAGTTAGAAAAACCTAAGAATTAAAAAATATATAAGTATGTTTTTAGGTTTTTATGAAGGTTTATAAGTTTTTTAGTTCAAATATGACAAAAAAAAATTTCTCTTCTTCTTTTATTATCTTTTGTAAAGTTGAAATTATGTATTGACATGTAAAAAATAGGTTTTTTTACTAAATAAATGATTTTATAAAGTTATTAAAATTAAAAAATACAAAAAAAAAACTAAAAAGTGAAAATAAATAAATGATTTTATATAGTTACTTATATAAAATTAAACAAAAAATACAAGCAAAACTTGAAAAACAAAAAAAAAGTAAAATGTGCAAAATATATTTTTTTTAATCGTTAATATTAATATCAAGAAGAAGTGGTATAACCTTTGATGAAATGTTTGCATTTGTATTTATATTTTGCACTCTTTCTCCTGAATACCTTAAAAAAAATCTATATTTTTAGAAATTTCGCTTTTTTTAAAAATCTTTAGTTAAAAAAAAAAAACGTGTATTTGTCAACCCTGGCCCCAAGAGCCCAACCCCAACCAAAATTGGTTTATAGAAATAAATAAACTAAGATATTTATTACCTTTGAAACATTTTTAATGGTATATACTTTTGTTTTTACTGCCCAAAATGCATGTAAACATTCCCAGGTGGTTTTTATAACACATCATCAAGACATTCCGCAAGTTATACCTCGTAATGTCCCATTTTTTCGTCCGAAAATCGCATTTTGATTCAAGCCTTTTATTATTTTGGATGTCTTCAGGTATCAGGATCAACATAATTAAAAAATTGATTGATCATGACATGTTTGTAATTATTTGCATTTAGTACTTCGTAGGGTCGCCGGTCGATGCTTAAAAAACTCATTGTGCCTTCCATAATTTGAATGTTTGTTATATACATTCACCGTTTCTGAATTTTTTAAGATTTTCGTTTCGTTTTATGTTTCCTTTGCTACTAAATCTTGCAGTGTTACACGTGGTGATCAAATGGTACCTATTTTATTTTGTTTTGCACGTGGCAATTATGTAACACCGTTAGAATTTTTCTTCTTACTCCATTACTTATACACAGTTAACGAAAATACTATTTCAGAACTATAATTAACTAAATACCAAAACTTTCTAAACCAAATAAAATGACAGATGATTAAATACTTTAAAGATATTTGCGGATTACGACACCGCCACACAAATTCTCCAGACGCGAACAAGACGGTATCAGAACCAAAATGACGGAGTATTACAATTTTGGTTATATTTATCTAGCATGTGCTCCTTATCTTAAGGAAGGACCCAGGGCGCATGTGGCGAGCGCACCAGTACCCTTGGCAAGCGTTTAGTACCGGAGGCAAGTTTAGCTTTGTTCGCGGTAAGAATCCTGAACCGAATTATTACTAATAGTAACGATTTCGCAGGCGGAGTAGTTAAAAAGCGTTCGCGGAACAAAAAACTGAACTATCGGTTCTATCCTGCGTTCGCGGCAAAATTATTATTAGTTTTGAACCGCTTCTCTATACCTGAAATAGGAATTGCACGCGGTCATGCGCTCAAAGTATGAATAGTAATTCTGAATCAGTTCATGATTGTTACCGCGAACAAAGCTATTATCTCCTTGTTAGATTATTAAAATAAAATAACTGTTTTTAAAATCATTAACACAAAGAATTTGGAATTTTACTAATTCCCAAAATAAAATAAAAATGGCTTTGGAAATTAGGCTTCAGCCGGGATTTTAACTCAGGACCTCGAATGGGATCTCAACATTTTTATTTTTGATTTATTTACATCATTTGACTGGATTTCGTTTGCTGTTACAAGGTCCCTACAATTTCAAAGGGACATTATTGCTATTTCTTAAACGGTAACAGATAGAAAGTTGGTTAAATTACACAAGTTTAAAGAAATGACAATTTCCATTTTTCGTCCGTTTTTTGAAATCTCCCTGTAGATATCAAAGGTTTCTTTGCACCATTTTAAAGAGCACAAAACTGTGCAACTTTTGTATAATTTAACCAACTTTCTACCTGTTAACATTTAAGAAATAGCAGTACTATCCATATGAAATAGTAGGGATCATGTATACAGGGTGATTCACATAAGAACCAACATAGAGCAGGGGAATATAGGGGGTCCCAAAATATGGCAATTTAACGCAACTTACCTCTATACCAAGTTGCTTCCCTAAGGAGTTATAGGCTTTGAAAGTGAAGTTATAAATTTTGAAAAAAATCAATATCTCCGTTATTCTTGAACTTAAAGC